CCCAAGAGTGGTTTGATATAAAAATGTCTATACCTATGCCCCATTTACAAACTACACATCACCACGTCTTCAGAAGTTGCCTTAAACGTAGTATGGCTAACAAGGTGAACTGTTAAGAACAATCTGTGTGTGAGTGTGCGTGCGTGCGTGCGTGCGAGTGTGTATGGTGTAGTTATAAATATATATATATATATATATATATATATATATATATATATATATATATAATATATAACCCTTTGTTTGGCTTTTGTATTTTTACAGGGTCACCTGAAGCTAAGGCAAAACTACTGTTTGATATGTATGATATCAGCCAGGATGGACACATGTCGAGAGAAGAATTTCGAAACATGCTCAGGTATAGAGTGGCTCTGTAATGTCGAACGAGGCACGTTTCAACATCTCGGACGTATAAGTTCCAACTGATTAATCTAAATTCACGTAATTACATGCTTTATACACCGATGTCATTTGTAACGTCAGAGCAGGGATTAAAAGCAATTGTGAATCAACTCTAGATATCATTGCAGCCACACGTACCTCCATTAATGACATTTTCCGTCTCACTAATGATGTCTTTTGTAATCTACGAAACAATAACTTACTAGGTTGTATCAATACATGTATGATACTGTTACGCCGATTTATTCCCTTACCGCTGCGTTAGCAGCCGTGTTCTTGTAGCAATACTACGTGTAGAGATACTCGGTTATATTTAAGGCCGGTCGCTTCCTCAGAGCTCCTGCTATAGTGTTATATACATTGACAATTAACCTTACTACAGCCACAACAGCCATATTCCCGTAGCTAGACTTACATTTTACTTTACATCTGGCTTTACATTTTTCTTTACAGCCTGCTTCACATTTGCCTTACATTTCTCTTTTTTGTATTTTACCATACATTTGCAACACATTTTGCTTCATATTTTGTTTTACAACTTGATTTAAACGTGACCTTCCATTTGACCTTACATTTTCCTTTAGATTTTGCTTTTCATCTCACCTTACGGTTTGCACTTGCGGCAGGTCTTTCATGGAACTTGCCAACGAGAAGCTGGCCAACGCGGAGATTGACCAGGTGATCGACTCGATGTTCAAGAGCAGCGGTCTGACCGAGAAACAGGCGATCACGTTCGACGACTTCCAGAAGCTTCTGTCCGGACATCAGGATGTTCTCAACTACGCAACACTGAATTTCGAAGGTAGACGTCTGTAATGCGTTCGAGTGGTATTTAGATGGAAAGACGACAAATAAAAGATAAATTCAACTGATGCTGTCGATTGTCTTCCTTGCACTTTTTATTCCCGCTCCTTTACTGCCCACGCGCAGACCTCGGTATATTTAAAGCCCGGCGCACACGTGAGTTATTTTACTCAAGTAAAATAACGCATGAGTCATTTTACTCACGTGTGCGGCGGATTTTCGTTGAGTAATTTGACGCATGCGTCATTTTACTCACGTGCGCGGCGGATTTTCGTTGAGTAATTTGACTCGTGCGTCATTTTACTTGAGTAAAATAACTCACGTGTGCGCCAGGCTTTAAACCCAAGACGGAACATACAACCAGTATACATAAAATATATTACATCGTCGACGCTAGCATGAGCGGTAATGTTTCTTCGTCTTACTAGTAAGTGTGAACTGCGGTGTCAGAGAAAGATTAGTGACAATAGATGCACCAGGTGAAAGAGCGGTCTCTGGTTATGTAGATGAGTCAATCATACGCCTAGTTATGCGAAATGTTTGCAAAGTGCTTGTTTACGAATGCGCTTGTAAATGTCTTTTGAATTCGATCTTCGTCTTTTGCCGGTTAGCTTTACTAGGTTAGCGCGCTTTGCTTGGCCACACCGCCCGGGCGTTTCACTCGACGTACAATCACTGTTTACAGGAGCTGGCGTGGACATGCCAAAGGCAGCGGGAAGAGAAGGGGCGCGCGACAACGCAACCACGCGCGCACGTAAGACCATCATCCGAGCGTACAGTAAAGAGGGTCGAAGCAAGAGTACAGCGGCACCCAGGTATAGCGCATAACAACCATCGCCGGATTTTATGGTAAACGTGTAAATTCGGAAATCCATACGAATCAGCGAATTAATTAAATGATATCAGGGGTTAATAATGACAAAATTTGTTATTACTAACCCCTGATGATATCTATGTGGTGGATCCTTACGTTCGCCGCGCTAGGGTACCACTGAGCGATAAAGTTAGGGATGAACGAAATTTATTAACTTAACCTGGATCCCCACATTCGGCAAATTTGAAAATGAATTGCATACTGCTCTGTCTGTATGCGGCCGTGGGTCGATCGCACGAAGGAGCTTATAATGTTGGGTCGATATTTACAGTCTGGACGGTTCATTACAACTTAACTAACGGGCATATTACACTAAACTCAAGATTAAGCTTACAATTAAGCACGATAATTTAGAAGGTGGAAGCGACACGTTTCGTACTGACTATTATCATTTTCCGCATTATTATGCTCTGCACCAAT